CAGGGGTACATGGTACAGAGAGGGGTGGGCATGAGCCTGCTTCACCCTCAAAATTGCAAGGGAACTGAGGGCCACTTCCCATGTCTCCCCAGCACAGAGCCTCCATAGACCACAGTTATACAGAGGCTCCAAAGGGGTGGGCTTAAACAAGCAGCCAGATGTAAGACAGCTGCAGGGAGCTTGAATATTTAGGAGCACACAGCTGCATCCAGTCCCAGACAGCCCCGGGCTTCCAGAATGGAGAGCCAGGGGGCCTTCTTGTGTGTGCTCTACACCCTGTGTAGAGTCTGGCTGCCTCAAGCTTTCTCAGCAAAGGGGCTAGAGAAGCTCAGGAGACGGTCTGAGATCCAGGAAGCCCTGCCGGCACCCTTTGAACCCCAGCGGGCTAAGGTTCTACCCTTTGGAACCAAGGTAGCCCTGCTTCCCGTGCCACTTCCAGACAGTCTGTTGGTCCCCAGGTTGCTCCAGGGATGGTCCTTTTCTGCCCTTGAAGGACAACCCGGGTAGTTCCTTAGCCTGTCTCCTGCCTGGACCATTCCAAGAGACAATCAGCCTTCTTTCTGCCCCGTCTCTCATCCTTCAGGCGAAGCCGTGGTTGATGGTTAGGTCCTCCGTTGCAGGCTTGTCTCTTTCACAAAAGTTGGTATCACCACAGCCTTGGTAAAAATTCTAGAACACCTGGTCTGAGTCAGGACCTAGAATGTTCCCGATCTTGACGTTGTGTTGACATTTTTCACTCCCTCTCTCTCTTCTCTCATTTGGAGGTAAGCGGCGGGGGAACCATGCAGCCTGGTCAAGATCTTGCTTAGAAGTCTCCTCCCCAACCCGAAAAACATTCTTGGGGCTAAAACTCCTTTGAGAATATGATTTTGAAACAAAACAATCAAAACTCTTTGATACTCTCTCCAGGAGAAGTGTATAAGACTGCACAGCTTTGCATTCTGGGACCCTCTGGCCCACCCATGGGACTTTGGGGGTCTGAGATGGGAACCCCAGCGAGGTCGTCTCTGGGGATATCCCAGCCATGACAGTTGGTGTGACCTTGGCCATAGCATTGCCCTCTCTGGGCCACTTCTCTCTACCTTTTATATCCTGACCAGGAAGCCTGCTGCCTCTTGGCCGGTCCAGTGCCCGTCACGTATGGACTGAGTTGTATCGGATCCCCACGCCATCAATGCAGGATTGACATCCTCACCCCCATTTTCAAGATGAGAAAAGTGAGGTGCAGGGAATTCCCAGTTCCCTACGTCCCTTTTGTTCAAGACGGCAATTACTGCTGCTATGGCGTATGGCCCCCTCACGGCACCCCAGGCTTCGTTCTGAGGACCTGACACCCTCCGTGTCTGTCAGTCCTTGCCATGCCCCTGCACTGAGCCCTGATCCAGGTGTCTCACTCATGAGCCCATTCTCAGATCTGAGGACCCAGTTTGCAAGGAGCGGGGCTGTTACTTATTTAATAGAATGTCCGAATGACTTTTAAGGCCACGCGGTTTTAGTCCTGGACTCCAAGGCCAGCTCAAATCAGCATCTGGGGAAGTGCTTCCAAGCGGAGGCCCCGTGGGGAGCGCTTTAATGAAAAGCAGGGTGGCTGGCTGGCAGGCAGATGGGCACTGCTGATGATTAATGTGTCTCTGTCAAGTAGATTAAGCTGGGGAGGCCCACGCCCCAAGTCTTGTTACCCCAATGATCTGCCGAGCCAACCCTGTCTTCAAGCGGATGGGCGGCCACCCCAGTCCCTGTCAGCCACAGCCCCAGCCGGCCGGCAGCGTCTTCCCTGCTTTCTGGATGGAAGCTGAGCTCTGACAAACTCCCAGTCACTGTTTCTAATCCCTTCCCTAAGCGCAGCAGGGCCCAGGGCCAAGCAGCCTGCCTTAACCCCAAGGCGGTGCTGAGAGGAGGGAGGATTACGTTGAACTCGCTAATGATTTAAATGATCCGTCACAGTGGGTGGTGGAAACTGCGCGGTGAAGAGAAACTGCTCAGCCTTTGCCTCTCCACTTCAAGTGGCCCCCTGCCGCACCTGCCTTACCTTAGACTTACCTCAGAGCAGGTGTGCCCTCTGAGTGACAGGGCCAGGAGGAGGCTGCCCAGGACTTCTCATCCCTGGAGGGAGCTGGTCTTGGACCGGAGGGCACCAGGTGGGGGCCCACTCCCCTGACCCCTGTCATCTGGGCCATGGGCTGTAAAGCAACACAGGTTGAGTATTCACCCTGAGCAGGCCCTGGGAATGGGATAAGTGTGGGGATGTCACACCAAGGCACAGATGGTCTCTCTGACAGCCCCCAGTGGGCATTGCATTCTGGGAAGTGGACCTGGGGGAGGGAGGTGGGCCGGGCGCCTGGCTAGGATGGAGTTCTTGGCACAAAGGGATGATGTATGCAAGGCACTGCCATGACCAGTGGAGGGTGGCACTGCAGGTGTAAAGTCTGTTCACACCTGGACCATGGAAAGAGACCCAGTACAACTTTCAGGCGGAGCTGAGCAGAGTGATGGATGGAGTAGCTAGGTGGAGGAGGGGGAGGGGCAGGGCAAGAGTGATTTGGTCTCAGACCTGGATGGGTGGGAGGGAGGGAGGGATGGCTGAGAAGGGGTCCTGATGATTTGGGAGTGCGGAGACTCTTAGGTGTGAGGTGTCTGTGGTAGCCAGACGGGGTGGTTGAGAGCATGAGTGGTGAACTTGGAAGCTGTGTTTTCAGATGCCAAACTCCCTCCCTGCCATCGAGTCCATGCTGACTCATCACAGGTCTACAGGACAGAGTAGAACTGCCCCTGGGTTTCCAAGACTGGACCTTTACAGGAACAGGGAGCCGTGTCTTTTTACCACAGAGCAGTTGGTGGGTTTGAACTTCTGACACGTGCTCCCTGGGGCAGTTACTATCACTAGCTGCCACCACCCATCCACCCCACCCCACCCACCCCCATGGGCCTGAATCGTGACAATGACCCTTGCAGAACCGAGTAAAGCTCCACCCCATCCCCAGCCACCCCAGAGACAAGTTGTGGATCCATGGTCAGACTCTCAGATGTGGATCCCCAATCTGGATGCTTTGCTGAGACCCATTCCACAGGACCCCCGACCAGAACGGGGCCCAAGTCTCTCACATGGGCACCAGAGTTCTGCTCCCCAGCACTACTGCCTCGGCTGCCATCACGCTGGCTGCCATCTGAGAAGGGACATGGAGAGGGAGAACGAGGGGCACCCAAAGTGGCATAGGACATAAGATTGAGCAGGGGGCTGAGGTGGGGTCAAAACCTCACCCAGGTTCATAGGCTAGGCCACCCCAGAGATATTGCAGGAAGGGAGGTCTCTTGCCTACCACACTGCCTCCACCCCCCCAGCCCCCACCTCAGGGCTGGGAAGCAGGTGACTGACCATCTGTTTGTCTACCTGGGGGAAGGGAAGGAAGTTGGATCCTGTGGCCCAGAGGCTCCCACGGTGACCACACCGTGTTTCTCCCTGCCAGCACCTCCGGACTTTCTTTCTTTCTTTCTTTCATCATTTTATTAGGGGCTCATACAACTCTTATCACAATCCATACATACATCAATTGTGTAAAGCACATTTGTACATTCATTGCCCTCATCATTCTCAAAACATTTGCTCTCCACCTAAGCGCCTAGCATCAGCTCCTCATTTTCCCCCCTCCCGGCTCCCCCCTCCCTCATGGACCCTAGATAATTTATAAATTATTATTTTGTCATATCTTACACTGTCCGACGTGTCCCTTCACCCACTTTTCTGTTGTCCATCCCCCAGGGAGGAGGTTATATGTAGATCCCTGTAATCGGTCCCCCCTCGTTTTTCCTTTTCTTCTTTTTAAATCAATTTATTGGGGGCTCGGACAACTCTTATCACAATCCATCCATCCATCCAATATGTCAAGCACGTTTGTACATTTGTTGCCATCATCATTCTCAAAACCTTTGCTTTCTTCTTGAGCCCTTGGTATCAGCTCCGTTTTTTCAGTCCTGCAGTAAATGGGAACGCTGCCCTCCTCCCTTCTGCAAGCGTGCCACCGTGTGGTCCTCAGGGGAATGACTGCAGAGCAGTCCACCCTTTCCGGGCACAACCTCCTGGGGTGGGGACTGGGAGGGAACTCTCCCCCGCACTCTCCACCGTCCCCGATAATTTCATGTTCTGGAGACGTCGTCGTTGTGCTGCGCCAACGATGTGTGTGACACGGACACGTTCTGCATGGGATACACAAAAGCCCCCGACAAGGCTGCGAGAGGGCCTGGGACGAGCAAATAGGTTTAACCCCTGACTCCCCAGCGGGCCCACCCTGTGACCCGGGAAGCCTCCCCGACGCCGCGCATCACGGCAAACGCTGCGGCCGCGCCCCTTGCGTCGCGACAAGTGAACATTACAAAGCTAAACGGTTTGCCCGGGCGCCGGTTCGGACCCTGCGCTGCGCTGGCTCAGGTTTTCGGTGTTGGAGGTTTTGGAAGCGAATCTCCAGGCCTTTCTTCCAGGGAGCCTCTGGGTGGGTTTGACCTCTCCAACCCTCGGATCAGCAGCAAAGTCTGTTAGTCATTTGCACCAAGTGGGACCACAGCAGCAGCAAGGGGGGGCAGGGGCGAGCCGGGGAGCGCAGGAGGCAGCGGCAATGGCAGTCCAGAGCTCCCCAGAGACCCTGGTGGGAGCAGGGAGGGGCGGGGGTGGGGTGGGGTATGGGCAGCCACACTGCTTCCTCTGCTCCCTGTCGCTGTCCCTGGTGCCTCTCTCGGTGTCTGCCTGGGTCTCCTGGTCTTTCCTGTCCTTCCCTTCTGTTTTTCTTCTTTTTCTCTCCCTCAATGTCTTTGCTTCTGTCTCCTTGCCCCCGGCTCTCCCCTTCCACCTCTGCCCTGCCTCCTCCTCCCCGTCCACTCTCCACTCTCTCCCTGCCGCCCCTACCTCCTCTGGCTTTCTCTGTTTGTCTCTGTCTCCTCTCGCCTGTCCCTCTTTCTGCCTCCTTGTCCCACCTGTCCCTCCCTCCCTTCTGCATCTTCTCCCTCACTAGCCTGTCCAAAGCGGCAGACCTGGACCATCACTGGGTTGCCAAAGCCTGGCTGAACGACCTCGGCCTGTCCCAGTACTCCCAGGCCTTCCAGAACCACCTCGTGGACGGGCGGATGCTGAACTCCCTGATGAAGCGGGACCTGGAGAAGCACCTGAACGTGTCCAAAAAGTTCCACCAGGTCAGCATCCTGTTGGGGATCGAGCTGCTGTACCAAGTGAACTTCAGCAGGGAGGTAAGTGAACTTCACTAGGCCAGGGCCAGGCAGGAAGGGAGGGCTGTGTGTCATTGTCTCCCTGCCCCTTCTGACACCCACCGTGTATACATTAATCCACAGGTCTGTCTGTTCATCCACCCTCAAGCCTCTCATCCATACTTCTATCCAGCCACCTATCTGTCCATCATCCATCCATCCATCCACTTCTCCCCACATCCCTTCCTCCCATTGCTCCCCACTCTTCTTCCAACACTGTGTATTGGGTAGCACCAGGGGCCAGGTCTAGGACTCATTGGGGGAGATGGGGAGGCTGAGGGATATATCCCTCCTTCTCTAGAATCCACACCTTATCAGGGAAGCACAGATAAGATCAGTGACCTGGAGAAGATGCCCTTGAGCCAGCCCAGGGGACGGGGAGGCTCCCAAAGGTGGTGGCAACTAGGTTGAGCCTGGGAGGGAGAAACTCAGGGATCAATCTGTGAACACAGGGGAAGCAGGCTGGCGGGGGCTGAGGAGAGGCCTGTGGACGCAGCAGCAGAGTTCTGAATGGCAGGGCAGGCTGGGGTAAGCAGGCCTGTGTGGACTGAGTGCCAGTTGCAGCCCACCCTTCCTAGCCGGCACACTCACCCATGGTCCCCGAGGGAGGGGCCCTGGCATCCGCCCAGTGGGTTCATGTTCTAAGCATGAAGAGCAGAGCACAAGCCGCTCAGGGTCAGAAAGCAGGCCAGAGAGCTCTGCTGAGTCCCTTACCTGTGGGCGCTGGGGACAAGATGGCAAGGACATAGTCCCTGGCCAATGGGAGCCCAGGCGGATGGAGGACAGACATGAGAGGCCCACCTCTTACAGAAGGGCAGGAAAAGGGCTGCTGGGGGCCATACTGGAGGAGCTGGAGGCCAGTCCTGCCCCCAGGTTTGCCAATTGGTGACAGGCAGACTTTGCTCTGCAGGATGCTGAGGGGCATGTTTTAGACCAGGTGACATCCCTACCCTGGGAGCCAGCAGACCCAAAAGGCCTGTCCCTCATGGCCTCCAAGTCAATACTCATAGACCGTCCAGTGCCCACAGAGAGCCTGTCCAAGCCGGAGCTGGGGAGGGTGCAGCACAGGGCAGCTGTAGCTACACCCCAGCCCAAAGCCCCACTCTGCACCAGGAAGCAGTGTGGTCAGAGCAGATGTGCATGGCCAAGCTGGGGTAACTCCCCACACCGGTCCCCTGAGGGCCCACATGGGACCCTTGTGTGCTCCCTGGTCTCATCCCCACCCACTGACCCAGCTGTCTCCCACAGGCTCTCCAGGAGCGCCGGGCCCGCTGTGAGACACAGAACATTGATCCTGTGGTCTGGACCAACCAGCGGGTGCTCAAGTGGGTGCGAGACATCGATCTGAAGGTGAGGAGGGACAGCAGGGACGCCTAGGCATATGCCAACCACATGCAAATATGTATGCAAATCAGCAGCCTTGCTTGTGAACTGGGCCCTGTGGCCTAGCCCAGCAGGGAAACACAGGGTCTTGTCACTCAAGAGGAGGGACCACTCGCCTCTCAGCAGTAGGACCCCACGTAAGGGCGCTCTCACCCACCTCACTCCCATTGGCAAGAACGGGCCAAGGCCCCAGACCATCTTTGCACTCAGTCCTGCCTGCTGGGCTCCGGGACATGTCAGGGACGCAGTCTCAGCTCTGCCGCCCGCATCCCTCTGAAAGTGTGGGAAGCCCCCCAGAATTAAATGGATTGATCCCCGAGAGGGGGAAGCCCTTGCCTTCGGAGGCATGTGAGTGGGCAGTCCTCTCAGATTACCAGAGTGACCCTCTCAGGAAAATGGGGGTCCTTCTCAGGAGATGAGGTTCTCTCCGATTAATAGGAGGGCCTTCTCAGAAGGACAAAGAGACCCTGTCATGTTAATAGGGGGACCCTCTCAGGCCAAGGAAGGAACTCTAACAGGCAGTGCCTTTCCAGAGATGGAATTCTCTCAGGTTAATAGGGGGACCTTGTCATGCTAACAGGGAGCATCTCAGGAGATGGGTTTCTCTCAGACTAATAGGGGACCCTCTCAGACCATAGAGGGGCATCCTCAGGCTAATGGGGGGATTCCTATGCTAACTGACTTCATGCCTTTGCCCTCAGGAGTATGCAGACAACCTGACGAACAGTGGTGTTCATGGAGCCGTGCTGGTGCTGGAGCCCACGTTCAACGCCGAGGCCATGGCCACGGCCCTGGGCATCCCCAGCGGGAAGCACATCCTGCGGAGACACCTGGCAGAGGAGATGAGTGCCATCTTCCACCCTGCCAAGTGAGTGCCAGCTGGCCCCACCGGGCAGGCGTGAGCTGACTGCCCTGGCTTGCTCTCCTGCCTCTGTGGCTTGCCACATCCCAAGTGTTCCCTGCAACAAGGTGATCCCCTTCGGGGATCCCCTTCTACGGTTCAAGAAACTGAGGCTCAGAGAAGCACAGTGCACAAGCCGGAAAGCCGGAAGTCTAGAAAGAGGCAGAGGAGTCCTGAGGCCCTGGCTAGCACATGATGAATGTGCAAACACCCCGGCCTCCCTGGACCGGAGAATGAACACTGCCTGTGTTAGGAATGGCCAGTGGTCGAAGGAGACTTTGAAGCTACACAATAGGCTTAGGTAGTTGTTTCGGGCAGAGGAAACGGGGTGTGAAGGTTTGAGGCAGGGATGCACAGACCGATGGTTCTTATGGCCCAGGTGAGCAGGCGGTATCAGGCCACCTGGCCCGTACTCCTCGTCTGAAAAGTGACCCAAGAATGAATAAACTGTGCCCCTCCCAATAGGTTTGCTCCCTAAAAACAATTGCTTTTGGGGTTGTTGCTGCAGTTGTCAAGTCCATTCTGACCCACGATGAATGACCCCATGTGTGCAGAAGGTCTTGAAGGCCATGACCTTTCAGAAGCTGGTCACCAGGCCTGTCTCCCAAGACACTTCTGGGTGGATTTGAACCACCAGCCTTTTGGCTAGTAGTCAAGGGCTTCATTATTTTCACCACCTAAAGACAACTGCATTGGTATTAAGAAATTAGGAAATTCACATAGTAAGGGGTCAATACATGATCAGCATTTAGGGTTAGGTGACCACTTACTGATTACTAACTATGTGATCACTGTCTAATTATATTCTCTCAACAATTCTGGAGACCCTCCTTCATCGATGGAAGGAGGTCCTCACTCAAGGTCACACCTTTAGTACATGTTAGAGCCCACGTTGTATCTTGTTCGGTGCACATATTGTATAACTTGATTGAGCTGCATATCTTGAGCCAACCTTGCATTCCTGGCAAAAATCCCACCTGGTCTTGGTGCATTGTTTTGTTGAGGGTTTTTACATCAACATTTATAAGGAACTTTGGTCTGTAGTTTGCATGTGACGATTTTTATTTCAGGCTAATATGGACTTGGAGGAATGAGTTGGAAAGCATTCCCTCCTCTATTATTTTTAGAAGTTTGCAAAGGACTGGTGTCAATTCTTCTTTGAAAATGTCCCCAGTAAAGCCATCTGGACCTGGAATTTTCTCTATGGGAGGTTTTTTTTTTTAACTACGAATTCAATCTCTTCCCTCATTATATGTCTGTTCAGTGTTCTGTTTCTCTGTGAGTCAGCCCGGGACTTAGCGTTTTCTAGGAATTTCCTCATTTCATCTGGGCTAGCTGATTTGTTGGAATCCCTGCGTGGCACAAACAGTGACGTGCTCAGGGACTAGCTGGAAGCTTGGTAGTTCAAACCCACCTGGAGGTGGCTCGGAAGACCGGCCTGCCATTGAAGGGCTTGGCTATCGAAAACCCCATGGAGAAGTACTTCTCTGCCCACACACGGTCACCATGAGTCAGAATCAACTTACAGCAGCAGCTAATTTTTCAGCATTTTTAGTATTCCCCTTAAATCCTTTTTGCTCTCTTTCCTTGTAAGATGGGTAACAGCCTTCATTTACTTCTGATTGTAGTCGTGTGAGTCTTTGCGCTTTTTTCTTGGTCCACCTAGCTAAAGATCTGTCCATTTTGTTGAAAGGACCCAGATCTGGGCTGTCTAACTCAAGCCTGGGTGTTAAACTATCAAACCATGCAGGGCCTTAGGAAACAGCTGGACCAGGAGGAGACACTGAGGCTCTGGAGAAAACTATGTGGGCTCCCTCACCCCCAAGCACAGCAGAGTGACTGGACCCCCCCTATGTAGAACGTAGATTCCCAGACCCATAAGGAGCCCAGCTGCCTTCATGTGTAGCATTTCCAGGGGGTGTTGACAAGAATGCTCTTCTGTGAGCCATAAATCTACCCCGATGGGCAGCAAGGGCTCTTCTCAGTGTGGTCCACCTCCCCTGACCTCCTGTCCAGAGCCACATTATCTGTAACAAATTCTGAGCCCTGGGGGAGTGGCAAAAGCTAAATATTAGCAGCCACAGTTTCTGATTAATCCCTGGACCACCATGGAGCTATGGGTGTACTAAGGCCTGTCTGGGACTCATGAGAGAATGCAGGGGAGGGTGATGGTAGACCAGGGTATCCTATAGTGGGCAACACCGCCCCCTGGAGGCCTCTGGAGTGGAGAGGTGGATTGGGGTGGGGGCACCTATATTTTATCCTGGACTCTGGACAATAACAAAGCATTTCCTTGCCAGGAAATGTTTTTTTTTTTCTGGAATACGTTTGTGAGCCTATGTGGTAGGTGGTTAAATGGGGGTGGGGTGGGGGGAGTCTTTTCCTTTCAGGGGGGATGTCACAGGCCCCTCTGAGAAGGCCCCTTGTTAACTGAGGGGAAGGGGCTTGGCCACGCCCCCGCGCTCACACAAGGCCGCTGAGGCTCCTCAGGCGGGGAGACCTGTTCTCTGCGCTCACCCCTGTTCGCAGCTCACCAAGATGCTGGGTTCATGGGTCAGCATCCCTGTGTGGTATTCCAGAACACTGCTGAGATTCCGCTCCGGGTCAGGGGAGCAGACGCCAGTTCCCTGGCGGGAGACAGACCTCCATGGGCTCCTAAGGAATTTTTGAGAGCATCCCTGACGCAAGAGTCCCTGCCTACGCAAATTCTGAGGTGTGGGGGTGTGTGTGCTGACCCCGGGCTTGTGGTGAGATCCTTGAGAAGTCCTGCTGGCTTCACATTAACCCAGACCTTTGGGAGTTAGCCCAGGACATCCCCGGGGGGGCAGGTAGATGATGTTGTTCTTCACTGTTGTGGGGTTCACCCTTGACTACCGTGACACATGGAGAAAATGCTGCTCACTCCTGCACCCCCGACCCCCCATTCTCACTACTAGCCAGTCAATTCTGACTCACAGTGACCCCACAAGACAGGGTGGAACTGCCCCTGTGGGTTTCTGAGACTAAAGCTTTCTCCCTCGGATGGAGTGGTGGATTTGAACTGCTGGCCTCATGGTTATCAGCTTGATGAGTAGCCCACTACACTACCAGGGCTCTTTGAGTGGCGCATAGTGCTGTAGAATGAGCACCATTTCTCACCAGCAAACTACCACCCATTCCTTGTTTGGTTTGAGCTCCCTGCCGCCAGGAGGGAGGCTGAGCGAATGGGATTTTTGCCCCGTGTTCAGGGTACAAAGACAAGGCTGCAGCGATGTGCTGCAACTTGTTCAAGAGGTGGAGTCCAGGGCCGCCCTGGCTTGAGGGCTCCAGATCCAACAACATTCCACCTGGATTGGCGGCCTCGGTGGATGTGGCCCCTGGGGACCTCGGGCCACTTAAAGAGGACGGAGGGCCAACAGGCAGCTTGGAGCCTCTTGAAGATGACTTTGTCCTTGTTAGTCGCCATCGAGCTGCCGCCAACTCACGAGACGCCCGGCACTCTGCCATCTACCTGGTTGCTGAGTTGCTTGGATTCAATGGTGTGTCCTCTACTGAACACACTGTCCTTCTGACTGCCGTCCCATGAGCTGTGCCTCACAGCCAGGTGACAGAGGACATCTGGCAGAGACACATTCCCTACGATTTTTTAGGTCTCAGCGTGATGCCACCTGCCCCAGCCTCCTCCCATCACCACACACCACACAGGAGCCAGCGAAGAGATTTCAAACATGATCTCTGCCAGCCTGCTCTGACATGCCTGGACTTCCTGCACCTCCTGGTCCACCATGGCCCATGGCAACTCCGTGCCAGGCTGAGACGGTACATTGAAGGTCCCAGGAAAGCCAAGCCCAGCAGACAGGCAAGAGGCAGGGCTGGCAGGTGCCCCCCAGGCTTTGTCCGGGCCATCAGAAGAGCGGGGAGGAAATGTTTGCCCGCTCCCCTCTCTCCTGCGTACAGGAAGATGTCTTTCTCTCCCGAGAGTGGGGGCGAGGTTGATCCCACCCTGTCCATTGGATTCGCTGAGGATAGTCAGGCCTCCCAGGGTTGTCATCGGACTCTGGAGCCTCAAGCAGACTTTGCACCCTTGTCTGCTAATATTCTTCCCTTTCCTCTGCTCCCCTGGCCCTGGCCCCCAAGTGCACCATTTGGATTCTGATACTTGATGAGCCTGGGGTTCGCTGCTTCCCTAAAAGATTGGGTACATGGCGGGAACTTTGGGGACATCGTGTGAAGCTGTGGCCTCTGTGCTTCATCCCTCATTTGACCCCAAAACTTCATAGGAGAGAGGGGCTGCCGTGAACCCTATCGTGCAGAGCACACGGTGAGGTCCGCTGCCCAAGTGTGGACCCGGCCGCTGATGCCTGCTCTCCTGGCACCCTACGCATAGCTCACAAGGAGAAGAGGGTGGCTGAAAGCTGCTGATTCCAAAGGCCTGACTTCTTTGAACACAAGAGAGGGGGCCCTGGAGATCTGCCATGCTCACTGGACCACTAATGCTCACGAGTCAGGGCAGCCGGTGCCCTTCTGCAGCCCACATGAGGCTAGCTTGGCATGGTGTCCACAGTAAGGACTGCTTCCCACTGGACTTGGGACATCTCGTCTCTGGGTGAATGAAGAGAGAGCAGACAGGAACGAAACCTAGTTTGCTGGGCCCTGCTGAGCACACGTGGAAGCTGTGGGTGTCGGGCCTTGGCTGTACAGGTGGCCGGTGCTGCCTCCCCTCCCTTCCCATGAAGCTCAACGGAGCAGCTCCACTCAGCGCCACTGGGGCAACAGGAGCCGGAGTTAACTTGAGGACAATGGGTTAGGTGTTTGCTTTTTTCACCTCTCCCAATCTCTTGTCATGAGCCCCACGACCACTGCCTGAGGCTGGCTCTGCTGTGCTGTGCCTGCTGCCGTGCACCCCCACACACCCCACCCATCCCCCCGCAGATCCGGAAACCAGCACTGAAGCTACCCAGGTGCCTGCTCAGCCCACACAGCAGGAGAACCAGGGTTTCGGCCAAGCCTGTCTGCTCTGAGTCGCTAGAGAGAGTCTGGGCAGAGTCGCCTGGGTTTGGCGAAGATTCAAAGAGGAGGTGCCGGTGGCTCCTGGCCATCATGGGGGCCAAGTCCCGGGGTCAAAGGAAGAGAGACCAGAGCGCAAGGAAGCACTGGTTTCCCTAGAGGAGAAAGTGGAAAAGCAGGTGGGTGGTTGGCTTCATTCGGGACGCCTAGCGCCGGTCCAGGATTCTTGTCCAATTTCCCTGCTCCATCCAGAGTCTGTTTGTTTGTTTAAATCCACAATACTGATGTCCTAATGCAGGGTGGGTAAATGGCTCCTGTGAAAGGCCAGATGGCAAGCATTCTAGGATTGAGGGCCATATGGCCTCTGCGGCGAGAATCCAACCGTGCCATGTGAGCCAGAAGGCAGCCCGGAACAACGTGTAAACAAATGGGGTGGGTGGGCCCAGGTGGGTGGGCCCCCGTCATACTTTATGTGTAAGAGCAGTCGGTGTCCTGAAGTTGGCCTGCAGGCTGCCGTTGGCCAAGGCCTGGTCTCACAGAGCGAGGTACTGCCGGGTCAAGGGTAGCATCCTCACCTCCTAAGCGGACACCAGGGCCCCTCAGGGACAGACACCGGGCCATCTGTCAGTGGAGATTTGCGTGATGCCAAGCAGGTCTCAGTGGCACTTCCAGACTAAGACAGACTAGGAAGAAAGGCCTGGCGACCTACTTCTGGAGAGCCAGGCGGTGGGAATCCTGTGGATCACAACATCCCGAGCAGCAGGCGACGGTGGGGCTGGCACGGCCCCAGCGTTTTGTCCCATTCTGCGTGGGGTCACTAGGAGCCAGGGCAACTTGACGGGGCTCCCGCAGCTGTCGGACGGACGTTCCTGCTCACAGCGGTGGGACTTAGCAGACGGGCACGGTGGTGGGACCTCAGGCAACGAGGCAGGTCCAGCCATACCGGCTCTGAGTACAGAGTTGGGGAAACTGCTCCTAGGAGCGTTTACATGACGCTAGTTCGCTGGACTCCCAAGGGCTAGTCTTTCCTTTCGTGGGAAGGGTTGCAGTGGACCCGAGGCTTCAGCATGAGGCTAGACTCAGATACCTGGGTTTGGATCTGGGCTCTGCCACCCACCACCCACGTCCTAGTGGGCAAGTTGCTGGATACCCCTGTCCCTCCAAAACTGAAGTACAGTAATGGGGGCACGGGCCATCAGAGTTACAGGTATGGGGACACGGGCCATCTGAGTTACAGCGATGGGGGCACGGGTCATCAGAGTTACAGCGATGGGGACACGGGCCATCTGAGTTACAGCGATGGGGGCACGGGTCATCTGACTTACACCAAGATTCCACGTGAATAACGTTGTCTAGGGTTGGGTCTACCATACGGCAAATACCTCTTTTTTTTTTTTAAGCAAGTTTTCGTCTCCTTGCCTTTTATTACCAGTGTCATTACAAATCTGATCTTTGAACATCTGTGAGTGACCTGCCTCTCAGGCACACTGTGAGGATCAGAGTCACCAGCAGCCAGCTGCTGGTGGGTCGATTCAAGCTCCTGGCAAACTCAGTGTGTGTCAGGGTGGAACTATGTTCCTTCCACGGGGTTTGCAGCAGGTGGTTGGTTGGAAGCAGATCACCAGGCCTTTCTTCCGCGGCACTTCTAGGTGGGTCCAGATCCCCAACCTTTGGGCTTCACAGTTGAACCCTTGACTTTTGTCAATCTCAGAGGCTGTGACCATTGTCACCAATGGAGCGTGTGTGTGTGTGTGTGTGTGTGTGTGTGTGTGTGTGTGTTTTGGTGGGTATGTCTGGGTGGCATTGACTGGCTGGCCTCTCTGCAGCTCGGCAGGCATCCGGGAAGCTGAGCGCTTCAGAACACCCCCCGGGAGGGCCTCCAGCATCCCCCGGACGGGGAAGGAGGAGAACTGCAGTGCCATCAAGTACAAGGCAGGCCGGGTGAGTCCCCCAGTCGCTCCCCTGTGAGTCCCGCACACCTGGGGAAGCTCTTTGTCCTCGGGGACCAAGCTGCCCTCTCCCAGCTGTACCTCCAGACAGCTGTGTGGGCCTATGGGAATGGAAGGATGGGCCAGGTCACAGGTGCAGCCTGAAGGATGTCTTGGTGGCCACCTTCAAGGTACCTGCATGATGCATCAGGCACAGAGCTGAGGTTTGCACGGGGTGGAGTGTAGGTTGCACCTGTCTGTGTCAGTGTCCCTGGGAAGGGGGTGGCTTCAGATACAGACTCGGGGGCCCCCTGCATCTCTTGAAGCAGAAAGTCTCTGGGATGAGGTCATGCCTGCATATACCTCAGACTCTTGGAAACCACCAGCTTCCAGTTTGAACTCCACCAATGTGGCCAATAGCAAGAGAGGAGCCTCTGCTGATTCCAGCAGAACTGTGCAGAGGCAGGCCAGCTCCCTACACAGAAGTGTCTACTCTCAGAGCTGCCTGTTAGCCCTGAACACAGGGTCACCAACCCAAACCAAGCTCACCACATGGAGTCCACACCAACTCATAGTGACCCTGTGGGACAGGGCAGAGCTGCTCCCAGAGGTGGGTTTCCACCTTGATGGCAGTAGACCCTCCGTGCCCCGCCTTTCTCCCCAGGAGTGTGGTGGTTTCGAACTGCTGACCTTGTAGTGAGCAGTCAGACTAGCCACTGAGCGGAGAGGTAAAATGCGTTGCCCCAGGCCACATGGGAAGTCGGTGTGAAAACACCTCATTGTCTCTCTTCTTCCCCCACCCTCTGCCTTTTCTCCCCTCTCTTCCCAGCTGCCCCTGGGGAAGATAGGCAGGGGCTTCAGCAGCAAAGACCCCGATTTCCACGATGACTATGGCTCTCTGCAAAATGAAGAGTGTGGGGAGGAGGAGCGGCAGAGCAGGCCCGAGCAGTACTGCCTGGAAGCCTGCTCCAGCCTGGAGGTCACCAATGTGTGAGCACCGACCTGCGGCCCGCCAGCACCAGCCCCCGGGCCCTAGAAGGAAGCAGGCCAGGTGGCCACTGTACATAGAGACCTGGGTGCGAGCCCTTCCCTCCCGCCCTCACTCTGGCTGAGGCTGCTCCTCAGCTCCCAGGGCAGAATCCCCTGTGATTTCACACTGCAAGCACCCAGAGGAGACACAACGCCAGCCGGCCGGTCTTGGGTAGGCCGTGGACTTCCTGTCCCCAGGGCCCAGCCTCTCCTTGGTCCTTCTGTGCAGACTCGGCCTCCGAGCCACTGTCGGCCACTGAGCAGCCACTGTGGCCCCTGCTGCTTTCACTGAGTTGCCAAGATGGGGACGGGCCCTTGTGTTCCCCCAAAACACCCATCAGGATGGGGCAGGGGCCTATCCCACCAGACAGACCACAGCCGGTGTGGAAGGTGCTAGGAGCCAGCAGAGCCAGGCTGCCGGGCATCGGGGGTGCCCTTGCAGCCGTGCGGAGGCAGGGGGTGCTGCCCTTGCTGAGCGGTCAGACTGAGGGGGCGGGGGGGCGGGGTCGGTCTCTGCTCTAGATCTCTGCCTCTCTTGACTGAGAACTCGGGCCACGGAATCTTTCTTTGGAGGGTACAATTGGGGATGGTGTGTCCCCCTTCCACTCTCAAAGCCGGTGTCCCACAGAAGGGCACATTGAAGAGCTGTTTGACTGGACCCTCTGGGCCGCAGGACCGCTCCTTGCAAGGACAGTGCTTGATGTCAGCATTTCCAGGCAGTGTAGCCTCATAGTCCTTGGGATGTAGGATGCTGTGGTGGCCCTCAACGACCGGGGTGACTGCGTTTGGTTAGGGTCAGCCCCACCAAGCTCGGGATTGGGCTTGGGGGCAAACAAGCCCTAGTTATCATGTCCCTGTCACCCGGGACGCAGGCTGGGTTCACCATTGCCCTCCCAGAGGCACAAATTCCACCGAGCAAAGTCGCTCCTGCAGGTGGCCGTGGAGAGAGCCCCAGGTTCCCTTCTCCGCTCTGCCACTGTTGTGCTGTGTGGCTGCTTCCCAGTGACCTCACCTCTCTGTGCCGCCTTGTCTTCATCTGCAGCACTTCCGATTCCCTGCCTCGCTCACGCCCGCCTTCCCTCCCATCATGCTGGGAGGATTAACACTCGCTAATGCTCATAACATACTCTGTAACCTCTGGGAGACTGGTGGGATGTGATCAAAGCTTGCCTCCTTTGTGTGTCCGGACCCAGAACTGTCCATGGCCTCGTCTCTGCCAGCTCGGTTTTGGTTGGAGTCACGTGCACAAGAAGACAAGCAATGTCTCAGGTTCAGACTCCGGTGGGTGGTGGGGAGTGGGAGGTGCTCTTGCGGGCACGAGCCTGCAACAGCCGTTGACTCAGGATCCTAAGGTGGACTTCGCTGACCAGGAGGCCCTGCTGAGGGAGACCCGGGAGCACGGTGCGCTGGGCTCTGACATGCACATCCGTAATGGAAGCAAGTCTTTCCTTGAGCCATGATGGTGCGCTTCCATGGAAGCCAGCTGCCCCAGGAGGTTTGACTTCCCCAGCTTTGTGGCAGGTCCCAGCCTCTGGGAACTGCTCAGACGCCTGCCCTTCTGGCTAGCCGACTGCTTTCCCTTGTGGGCCATGCATGCCCCTCATCCTAGCCAGTAGGCATGACAGCTAGTCCACCTGCACCTTCCATAAGCACAGCCTTTCTTACGACTGAAGCAAATTCCCAGTGGTGGCCGGGCCATTGTGTGTCTCCCTTTCGCCTGAATGTTAGGTCTCCAAGGGGCCATTCCTGATTCCAGGCCCCGGAGAGCCCCTCTCCGGTGTGGGACTTAGCTGAGTTTGAGTTCCAATTTTCACCCCACCCATATCTCTGTGCTCTCCAGCTAACACACAGCACCCCAAAGCTGCAGAGCGGAGCCAGACAAGAGGGAGAACTCCCTCGTCTGATGCCACAGGCCCTTGAAAACCCGTGTCCAGGCTGGGTAGTCAGGGAGCCCAGATCTGCCTTCTAGGAGCCAGCAAAAGTAGCCCCCCACCCCCACCCCCTCCCGCCACTGGGCGAGCATGGTTGGCAGAGGGGCCTGAATGCTGATCTGATCACACGTAAGCAGCTTCACTCAAGCTGTCCAATAGGTAGCTTGCTCTACAGCCAGACGCAGCCTGTCTGCGGAGGAAGATGGGCACCCAGAGAGCTGAGGGGCCCCTTATGGGACAGCAGTAGACGAAGGGGCCTGGGACTACACGGATGACTTCCAGTGCATGGCCCAGCCTGTCCTGTTGCAGCATGCGCTTCTCTATGGGATGCTCCCACCCCCCACAGCCAGTCCATCCTTGGGAGCTGGCTTCTCAACAGGAGGCTGGATTGATTGATACGTTAACAGGCTCCGCTGGAATAACTCCAAATGCCCACCCTGCTTCCAGGGCAGAGGAAGGCATGGCACGGTGAGCCTTGGTGGTCTGTTGGCAAGGGCAGGCCGCAAGGCCACACAGGGACCCTGATCTGACATGTCATCCAAATGACCGAGTTATGGTCCTGGTTCTCAAAGGGTGACGTGGTGCATGGGCCTGGGGACCACATGAAAGTGCTTCTCAGCATGGTATTGCCACCCAGGCCCCTGGGTGCTGTGCCTTAGAAGAGCGTGTGGCGCCAGGGCTGGGAGCAGTCCGGGTAGGGACCAAAGAACCAGTTGCTACCAAGTTGGCCCCAAGGGATGGCGACCCCATGGTGGGACGAGCTTAGCAGTGTGCTCCTGGGGGTCTCCAGTGGCTGTTTCTTCAGGAGCTGATTGCCAGCCTCCTCCTGAACTCCAGCTTTCCAGCAGGTAGCTGAGCAAGGAGTCATCTGGACTCACCGCCCAGGACCAGGCGGACACCCCTGCCTCCTCCCAGAGCCGCAGGCGGAGTCAAGGGGAGACACTGGCCCAGTTAAGTCTCAGCTCTACAAGGCCTCCTTGCTCCTGGCAGAAGCTTATCCACCTGTCTGGCAGCATCGCTTTCTCAGGCTGCAGAGAAGCAGGGAGAAGGATAGGAAGGCCTGCACTGGCTGAGGCAGGGAGGCAGCCCCTCACAGCCACACCAGCATGGGGGTCCTCCTCACCATGCCCCCCAATCTCAGGGCCACTGACTCGGTGACAGAAGGTGTCTTGGCAGAAGAGAAGATTTGATAGACCCCTCTGCTTCCCTACCTGTGGAGGGTGGGGGGCCTCCCAGGCTCCAGGGCTACCCCTGTCCCTTCCCATCAAACCCTCCACATTCTATGTGCTGGGATTTCCCTGCTTCTGAGACCCCCAAGGGGTGCTGCACCCTGGGCAACCAATAGTGTTGCCCAAAGTTGATGGGAAGAGACTTTCCTCCACGCCGAGTCCTGAGTGCAAGGACGGACTGCCAAGGAGATGCTGTGTCCAGGAGCAAAGGTGACACCCCTGACCATTGGCGGCTGGCCCTGGCCGGGAGGGACTCCCAGGTGAAATGTTAACACTGTAACAATAAACACTACCTTCTAGAACCTGGTTGCCGAGTGGCCTCTCTCTGTACATCTTCTCATTTCATTTCCCAACCACCCCTCTGAGAGGAGCCTGCTCATCCGTCTCCCAGGTGGGGACAATGAGATTGGAAAGGCTGAAGAGCCAGCTCAGCCCCTAAGGTTGAAGAAAGATCACAGGGGAAGGACTCAAACCACTGGGGCTACCTCCAAATCCCAGACTCACCCCTACCACAGCACGCTCTCATCCCGGCCCCCTGCCTCATGGACCCACCTTCCAGCATGAACCCCCCCTTACCTGGTCTCATCACTCCGGTGGTGTTCAGGTGACCCCCATCCTGGCTGACGGCCCCTCCGTTCGCTGCACTCAGGTAGGTGCACATGCCAGGTGACTGGAGTAGACGGCTGTGGTGGGTTCACAGGGATCCCGCTCCTCAGCTGACAGGACGTTTTTATTGTTTCATTTCTATAGTCCAACCGTTTTATTGGCATGTAAATTCACATGTCATACAATTCAGTAGTTCCATCCCACTGAGAAGAAGGGACATTCATCATCACCACAAGCTGTTTCAGAACATTTTCTTCCTTCTTGTACTCACTGTTATTAGCTCCCAAACGGCCCCCAGCCTCCCCTGCCACTCTTATCCAGTTACTGCCTCTATAGATTTACCTATCCTGGGTTTCGTCGACAGAGAAACATTTAAAAAACAAATACAAATGAACAAGAACAATGGAGTCTGATAAAAACCTCAATTGAGAAGTAAGCAAAAAATATTAAAAACTAGAACAAATTTAAATGCACCATAAGAGAGACCAAATGATAGGGTGCTAAGTTTTAGCCTAATTGCATCTGCAATAAATCACTCTCCAGGGCGTTCTCCATGTTAGCAGGGTTATTCACACCCCTGGCCCATGACCAGAGGGGATCTCCCAGGGGCATAATCCACATGTATTTCCCCTGCACTTAAAAGTTTAAAAAAAGACATTTAAAGTGGATCAAAATGGAGTTTAAATAAGATTTCACATTTTGGCCGATTGATGTCTGCCCTAAGAAACTTTACAATGCTTTCTGTCTGATAACAGAGCCATTCACATTCCTCAAGTGCGAATGCTCAAAGGGGATTCACCAGAGGTTTGATCCATGTGCGGACCCTGCAAATGGATTTTGGGCTTCCTCTGTCATCCAGAGCCTTCTGCAAAACGGGTGTTCCTCATTGAAACTCTGTTACCGCCAGGAAGCGAAACAGTGTGTTGCATGGGGCTAATCGACCGCAGTCCATGAGGGCGCCAGGCTCCTAGGGACTGTTAGGCTCTGGGATCCAGGAATGGGGACAAGCTCCCTTCCCCCTGCCCGCAGATGCCTCTTCTCCGTGCCCCTGCAGGTAGACAGGACAGCCAGAACCACACGCTGCGAAGGGAAGAAGTAGGGCTCTCTGTCAGCAGCACAGCAGCACCAGGAACAGACGTGAGCCTCAGGACAGGCACCCCAGAGACCCAGCCCTCATCACAGCCAACCTTGAGGACACTTGCCCTGTCCTCTACAGGTAACTCTGTTGGTGGGACTCTGTTCTTGCATTGTGGGTGCCTAGCAGCCTCTTAGGCCTCTACCCCCTTGATATCAGAAGCACCCTCCCCCTCCCCCAAGTGTGACAGCCAAAAACATGCCCAGATGTTCCCGATGCAAACACTCCCCCACCCCACAATGAAGAACTTCCGTGTTACTATCTTTTCCCATTTAATCCCCACCCCGGCCCCCTCAGGTCAAGGTTTTGCTCTGACCGACAGAGAAAGTGCAATGTGGAGATTCCTCACCCTGGGGGGTCCCACAAGGTTGGGGAGGGGGCGGGTGGTGGCCACCTCGCTTTGTGCAGGGCCCCGGCTCCTATGCACCGAACCTGCTGCTCTGGTCTGAGGCTGACTGGGCCACACCCAGCCCTTCTTAATTAAAAACATTCCTGAGGGCAGATGTCCCCTGGTGAAGCGTAGGTGCTGGAGTCCCTCCCTCTGTCTGGAGGAAAATGGCTCTGTCAG